TGTTGTGATAAAGCTTTGGAAAAAGAAATTACTGGAATGGGAATTTCGCACTCTATCTGACCGCTTTGACAACGTGGTGGGATGCCTTTGTCCCACCACCAGGGATTCGCCATCTGTTCGAAGGGTTTGACAACAATCTTCCATTAAAATGCTTTTCTCTTCCTTCTCTTCAATGCTAAATTATTGTCATTTTGCTCAAGTCATTGCTCCTGTCAAAAGTTTGAGACTAGTTTTCCAATGTTGTAGTAAACAAATGCAGTGTAAAATTACCCCATCGATACTTACACTTTGTTGTAACTGTTCCCAACTGCCAGTTTCACTCCTTACGGTGAGCAATAAGAGCATATCGGACTCACGCGTCCAAGTGTTTTAAAAACTCTAAGTTGGTTGTCAATATCTCCTAGCAGACAGCATTTGGCGTTCGCGTTACAATGCATGCCATAGAAGTCGTTAGGATGGTCGACAAACCTCAATAACACGATAGGCAAAAGACAACACCGTCATCAATATTTGCGTTTCCTGCAGATAATCCTCACGCTTCTCAACCTACAACAAAGTCGCGGCTAAGGATTTGCGGACTTGTCACCCATGAGAATGGGATAGTAAAAATGTCTTATTAGGCGCAAAGGACCATTTCATACTAAACACCCAACCATTCTTGGTGAATCTAAATCTGGCTTTAGCCACGTTCGCCAAATGTTCTACAGCAAAGGGCAAAAGTAGTCGCCGTAGCTATTCATGCTATATTGTGTATCACGAATCCCAGTCCAAAACTTTCGTGGCATTTGTTTTTATCCCAAGATCAAGGGACAGCAGATGGGGAAATGAACACTAAGGTTTGGGGGTAAATCTCTGGGCATGACTGTGCGCAGAGGTTGTGGCTTTTGTCGATCCCTCCACCTCTAATTTACCAATGAAAGATTGGAATGAGTTATTTATCAGGATGAAATTGTTCGGTCTAAAAAATGTGTCAGAATAGTTTACCCACTGTTTAGCAACTATGTGGAAGACTTAACCATAAAAGCTTTCTTCAGTGTCAGATATGCCAAGCCATTGAAATCATTTCAACACTTCCAGGCTCAATGTTGTTCGCAATTCTAACACAACCGAAAGATACTAAGGAAATGCATTATAAATTGTAACATATAACTGCGTACAAACGTCCTTCTACAACTACGACACAAATCCATAAAGTTATTTAAAACTCAAAGTGATAGCGCAAGGGCCAAACCAGTGGAGCAAATTTAAGCGGAGCATAGAAGAAGGACTTCCACATACTTAAGCATAATCACTGAGGGGACAACGACAGCCAAGCGAGACATAACACGTGTGCTACGCCAACACTGTTATTCACAAGCCAAAAAAGTGGGGCGACTGTGTATTTCGTTTGCGTATTGTGCTGGTAACCACCTGGCCTTAGCGTGACTAGAATAAGGCTGGGAATGATGGCGCTATGAAGAGTAGAACAGTTCCGTACGGGGTCACTAGGCGCTGAGTGCCCTTAAAAAACAAGTAGAACCAGGCGTGCATTCACTTCTCCCTTAAAGTGCCATAATTTGGTGACACCTACGATAAGCAAGTGCAACCAAATCAGGTAACGGGCTGTCATGTCGATCTCCAAATGGTTGATCTGGTTTGAATTTCTTAATTTCTTTCTAGCTGGTGTTAGGGCTACAGAAAGTGGTGCAAGTAACAGTCAAGCTAAAAGGAGAATGGAACCATAAGTAAAAGATAGCAGTGGCATTTGAGAAAAGGATTGGACTTTTCATCTGGCGACTGCCTGCACAACATAAATTATTAACTCGGATGTGTTTTCCCAAAGGAGGTGGTAGGCCAATTATAATTCACTCACTTGTAGATAAGATCTTGCCAAAAACGAAGCCAAGCCTTACCTTAGTTATGAGGCATTCTTTTTTCCAGTCTTAGGTAGCACAATTATGAAATTGGGGGGCTTCCGCACAGGCAATCCTGTTGTAGACAAATTTGCAATGCCGACTATAGTACCCAACTTTCTCATTCATCGCAAACAAAATTATTTGATTTTTCCTATTTGGTGGTTGTGAGTTGTCGACCTGATATCTGAAGAGAAGACAAAAGGTTAAATTTCGCCAAAAGATTTGACGTCGTTAGGTAATCTGATCGGTGATTTTGTCACTGTTTCGCTATAGCTCACCAAGACAACATCTTCTGACGGTTTTTTACGTGGATGCAAACAAGGTGTGGACTAGGGACTATAAAGCGGTAGATTTGGCATAAACCGTACTTATGCCACATTTCTCTTCTGAAAGCAAAATTTGCAATGCCGCTTCAGAAAACTGCATACCTTTAGTAGCTCCAAAGCTTCCTTTGATTTACAATCGTACTCACCCTTTCTGTGCAGGCACACGACCGAGCTGATTTCTACAGACCTTAGCCACAATCTTTATGCCAACGTCAAGCCAACTGCTAGAGTAGTACGTGCAATAATTTGTTTGTGTGACCACCAAATGTCTGACGATTACTTTGGTATTTGTTTGGCCCTTGTACGCGTGGGCTGGTCTTCGAGCCAATTTCAAGGCCTATTCCCTTCTTGCTTCCCCCAATGTATTCAGTCCAACTTAATACACTCTGCTACCCGACTGGAGGCCTTAAGGCGTTGCAGTAAGCAGAAATGTTGGCGATAAAGGAGTGAAGTTAATTAAATTAAACTTTTCTGCAACAATGAAATTGTAACTAATGTCTGAGGCAAGGGCAACTTTTGTTGGTAAGGCATTGACCCAATGTTAAAATTTAACTCTAATCTGCGTCCTGCCAAATTTGGCTAAGCCCACTTAGACACCGATTAAGCCCTGCATACAATGCTAAAACCAACCTGCTCCTGCTTATGTCAAGGAACTGTTTTGGGAGAGGAATGCTGAACTCCCCTGTGGCACACAACCTTAGCATTTGTTTATTTTACAACCCAATAAATAATAGTTTCTCATTTATCATTAAACAACGCTTTTATAGCACGAAAAAGTGGTAGAAAATGGGAGTCCATAGCCATGTGAGTGACTTTTGAGTGTCATAAAATACCCGCATTCTTAATGCTTTTAAGGCTACTTGCGCTATTGCAATACATTTCACATCGTTTGCGGTCACATTGCATCTACAGAGCGGGCTGGTAATCGAGCCATGCTAAAAGCACGGTGCCTTTACCCCCTCCCCTCCTTATGCATATAAGTACATCGTCCAAGTACTGTGCCTTCTCTCGCCTACAAAAGTCTCGGAGCACAACAATTTGTACTGCTTTTTTGCAAAGTTGTTGAATTTCTTCCAGCTACTGTCAAATTTATTAATGTAGTAGTGTAATTCTATGTGCTCCGCGACCAGCATGCTCTTCTTGTAGCAAATTTCGAGCAATATCTTATTAAGGTTTAAGGTTAAAATCCTGTAATAATCAAGTTTCCTTAAAACTGTTAAAGCATCTTAGGATGAAATCAGTTACTCGCATCGGTCCGGATCCTCCCATTTCAACAAATCTTTGAGTGCATTTATTATTTGTAAACAAAGTCTATATCACTCGCTTAGATTTTCAAAACCTCAGCACACAGAATATAATTCGTTGCCTAACTGCAAGTCGAAATAGTCGAAGTCCTGCAATTCTGATTAATGTACAAGATAATATTCAAAGAAACCTTTCTTAAAGTGCACACTAATTATCCAGACTTCCTTTAGGCTAATTATTGGCTAAAGAATTTTTTGTATTTCTCGTTACAAGGTATTATCAATGATATGCTGTTGCTATGCGCCCGATGGGGGAAGAACATTGGATGTGAATAAAAGTCTCTTGTACCTTTGCTTGACGCCATCGGAGTTTCCTCACAAATTTACACCTTTGCTTTATCTGCAGAATGACGGAAAAACATAGAAGTGGACTCATTAGGAAGACTGCTTCTGCCTCTATCTCATTCACCCAGTGATGATGCACAAGTCGACGCATATATGATGGTATAATTATATTTCAGTGCGTAGCGATCTGGACGAAATGCACGGAGGGTGCACATTCGATAAATTTAAGCCAGTGAACACAGTTCACGCGAAAGCATGTATTACTGATGACCATTGTTGTGACTATCCTGTTTCTAACGTATAGGGTGGCCATCAGGGTGTGTTGAAGCAATATCACTTCTATTCCTGTGAGAATACAAGTATTCAGCTAAGTCCTGCACCTTCCATTACCAAGAGGAATGGCTCTGACCGCAAATGTGGTCGTAATATTTTCCTCGTCTTTACCCTTCCCATAGACTTTTTGGACTAAATTTGATTGGTAAAATTTTATCAGGAATTCGAAAAAAATGCAATCTAGGTCTATTGACACTTGGAGAAAATCAACCAAATGCTCCTCCATCATTAGAACAATCTAATCATCTCTCTCCTAAGAGCAAAGTTCCATCCACTTAACATGTGTTAAGACCAAAAAATCGTTTTGACACGGATAATTCCAATAATGTAGTGATATAATAACTAATCCCTTGGAGGCACTGAAAACTGCCAGATTCAGTAAGACGAATAACTAGCAAAACTTTCCTCTGCACTTGTCGGATCAAAGCGTACTGTGGAAAACTACATTTAACACATTTTGAGTGCTTAAAATATCCATTATAAGTAACAGATGGAAATCCAATTCAAACATGGTGCTTGATCAAGATGACCTGCAGGGGCCAAATTAGTGCGTCTACATCCAACGCAAACCATTCTCGCTTGATTGTAGCTACCCAAAAATGCCTAAAAAAGTCTGGTCGGGAGGCTCTTCTTCCAAAAAATTCCATCGAAGTGGTCCTGCGCCTAAGACAAGATCTACGACTTAAACCAAAAATTCAATGTTAATATTTTTTATTAAAACTTCTAAATTTTGTCAAAATAATAACCTTTCTGTGCCTTTAATTTTGTTTCAATACCTCAGTAATGATTTACCTGCAGTTCACAAATTTGTTACCTTGAAGGATAGAGCTTTGCTTAAGGGCGTGTGTGGCTTCACAATGCGATTTCTAGTGAGTCGGTTTGGTCTGACATGTATGCTGTGGCTCTCTGTCGCCTTGAACCTGTTTTATGGGGTTATTTTATGGAAAACATTTTATTCAATCACGAAAATTGGATCAGTGTCTAGTTCCAAGGTGGTTGCTTCGCAAAATTCTAGTGGCCTGCCCGTACCGACAATCTACATTCTTACTGCAACATACTATCGTTTGGTTCAATTTGCTGAATTAACGCGTATGTGTCACACGCTTTTGCACATTAAAAACATTCATTGGATTGTTATAGAAGACGCCACTACTCCTTCAGCGTAGGTATAACCTGACTTTATCTGAATAATTTGCTAGCATTCCTGTATTCAATTTGCCTGTTTTGTTCTTTTTTTAAGGGAACTTGAGGACTTTCTAAATCGATGTGGGGTATCCTTTACATTACTTGCTATGAAGACACCTCCTGAACAGGTCCTCCCTCCTGGTCAACCTCGGTGGCGGTATGCTCGCGGTGTTGTTCAACGCAATCGTGGGCTCCAATGGCTTCGTGAAAACTTTAAACTTGGATCAAACGAAGGTGTGGTATATATGGCTGATGATGACAACACGTATTCCCTTCGCCTTTTTGATGAGGTGACTCCATATTCCCCTTAACCTTCTGATGTTTAGAGGTCTATATAATCCGTGTTCCCTTTCGCAACTTTATTATTTGTTGCCCCTTTACTTTGGTTATTAGTAATGGTATTTATAGAGGCCTCCGTGGCATTTTACTGAGCCTTTGCGAGGTTTGAGAACGTCCAGTTTGAAACTATTGCTTGCTTTACTTTCCGTTTTGCTCTTACCTAAAATTTGTCATTAGAGGCCTCATTGGATTGTGTTTGAGTATTGCTGTTAAATAAGGTCATTGTTTCGTTCTTTTTGCTTTCTACAGCATAGTTTTTATGCAGGTATCCTATTTTATCAAATTATCATTCATTTGAACTGAATTTGGCTTATCATACACTTGTCCCCATGAATTTTAGAGTCTGAAGTTTTTAGGCGGTTGTGCTGCATTCCAATCTCTAAATGATTACGCTCTGCATTTTTTTTCAGTTCGTCCTCTCATTAGCGTTACCTGTTCCATCCCTAACATTCATATCAGTATTATTTGGTTAAGCTGTGTTTAGGTCCCCGTTAACTTTCACTGTGCTCTTTCACCATCTTAATCATTAATACACTAGTGTATCCGCATCGCTATTCCTTGATTGATGTACCGTTATGTTGTCCTCGTATCGGATAAATACATTTACTAAAATGTATTCAGTACAAGTAAACGAATTACAGATCCGCACGACGAAACGTGCCTCTACATGGCCCGTAGCCTTCGTCGGTAGACTGATCTGGGAGGGATGTGTTACTCAACCGGATCAACCTGATGTTATCTATCGAATGCAGACTGTCTTTAAGCCCTGGCGCGAGTTCCCGATCGATATGGCTGGGTTCGCAGTCAATCTTCGGTTGATCCTCTCACATCCTGATGCAAAATTTGTCGCTGATCCCAAGCTCTACGGCATGCTGGAAACAAACTTTTTGAAAAAGCTAGGTCTTCGGAATTTCACTGATCTTGAGCCTAAAGCTGATGGCTGCAAACGTGTATGCTTCTGTCCTTAATTGTTCGGGTTTTATCTTATCAACTTAAGTGAATTTGCGTTGTCATCTTAACTCCGTTTGTTATTTGGGCAAACTTAAGGTCCCTTTCACCCGAAGTGTTGCACTGACATTTTGATCAAAAGATTTTTAAATCAAACGTAACACCTGGTTAGAGAAACTTAGCGCTGTAACCTCAACTTTTATTTTCATCAATCTGGCACTTTGCTACAAGGGCGTTCCAGCAGTTGTGGTATTGAGGTTGGTTGGTTTATAAGGGTATTTGTGTCATCTTTATTGCTTCTGTGTTGATTGTAGGTTGTCTATCTTATCCATTCACACTTCAGAAGAGCCTTGAGAAAAATTTCCTAAATAAAGTAAGAATTGATTAGCTTAACCACCTACTCTGCTGTCTTACTTTTTTTCATTCTTTACGATCGGTAGGCCCATTGTTATTTTCGCTTATTTGGATTAAGCTTCTTGGACGAAATACGGTATCCAACAAAATGGAGGTCTTTTGGAATCGCGCATCATTTGATCTATGATGCGAGATTTGAAGTGAAATTTTATGAAAATTAACAAACAGAAATTCTCCATCCGTTGGGAAATAAGTAGATGTAGTAATTATGATTTTCTTTTGATTCTTACGTTTCTGGATGTCTTAGCGTCTTCAACTGTCCCACTAAACTAGGTTCATTGTCAGATGGATAAGTTGGGAACATGTTTTATAGCATCATAAGGGGCACATTCATAGGAGCTTTAAAGGGAATTGCCTTCAAGGCCTTATTTCCCGTTAGTTAATGTTGCAAATGGGTGACAATCACAGCCATGGTATCATTTATTTAACTGTGTTCATTTCACGTGATCGCTTAGGGTTTCTCTCTTTGGAGTCAGAGCGTCATAGGCAGCAAACTGGGGAGGAGGGATGAAAATTGGTTGATCAGGGCCTTTGAAGTTTTCTCACCATCGGTTTAAATCCTCATACGATGCTAACTAGTCAAATTCAATAAGGATTACGAAATTTGTTCTTTTTTTGTTTCATCATCGTCCTTTTAAATGCGGTGATAAATTGAATCATTCCGCTTGTCGTTATTAATGCGTTTTGACCTGTATTTTGGTGCCCCTTGCTAGCGCTGGTCATTTGCGACAAATGGAAAATTTTTCTCACTTATTTGATCGCTCATAACCATCTCTCTTAGTTTGGCACCCTAGTTTTTTTTTTCAACTCCGTTTTTCAAATCAAAATAGGGTTCACCAACTGGATATGCGATAGATTGACCGCCCTCCGGTAGGTAGTCGGTCGACATCTGATTACACGCACTTCCCTCTACTTGTAGATTCTTGTGTGGCACACGCAAACAAAGGATCCGGATATCGTCGCTTTGGACAAATCCAAAACTGGTTTTCAACCCACTATGCTGCCTGGCGAGTTGTGATGTTAACCACGCTCAAACATTCACCGCAGCACCGACTACACGTCTCCGTCTTACTCCCTCTCCCTCCCTTGCCTACTTGCACACATTTTCCTCTGGCCAATTGGCATTTACGTTGTCACGCCTCATCTGCAATCAAATGCCCTGTGCATTTGAGCTAAGCGTAGTTCCCCGATTCGGCCTTTGGTTTATGAAACTACGCCAATCTACCGGAAGACGTAATGTGTCATTCAGCCATCCAGAGTTAATTTTTAGAATTCGCAATGTTGCATTTTCTCCAGCGTTTCTTTTTATCAAATAGAGATGTTACTGTTTCTTAGCTTAATTTGTGTGCAGAACTGTGTGATATCACTTTCCTTAAAACTAGTTAACTAGAGCTCTTTTATTGTGTACAGTTAGGCCATCTTTTGTGCAAGGTTGGTGAGGGGTAGGGCTGTCTTCCGTTGCTCTTATTTTTGAAGAAACTGGTGTAAATGAGGAATGGACGATAACATGGAGAGGAGATTGAATAGTCTCGGGTGGCCACTTAAGATCAAATTAAACTGATTGGCCAACTCCTTGTTATTACTGGCTAAATTGTTGCTCTGAGCAAACTTATGGAGATATGACAAAGCTGCATAAGTCTACTTTATTAAAGACGAATCGATGAGGGTATCTTTCGGTTCAAAGGTGTTTTCGACGAGTTCTGGTCGTCGACATTCATTTGTTCATTTTCAAATCATCCTAGTAACTGCTTGCTTTCGCGCAAGCACTGGCGATTCACACCTCCCTCTATTTAGTTGATAGCTTCATTGCGCTTCTTAACAACTGCATTTCTTATGGGCGTGGAAGGTAAGTTGTTTTTTTCTTTGCCTTCCAGTTTGAAGTAGTCATTCCAAGTCCGAACTGAGTTTATGTGACACGGTGATTAGAACTAGTACTGTTTGTTTAGAACTGGAACTATTCTTTTCTTCATAATGCTGCCAAACTACTCAATCTGCAAAGGTTTACGCTAACATATAAGTTGAGTGGAGCAAATGAATGAATCGAATATAAAGTGGTATTCTTGAAGCGTGAGGGATTATTTGGATTGCATACGTACGGAGCATACGTCGAGTGTTTGGCCAGTTTTTTTACAAAAAAATAAATGGCGATTCAAATTAAAGGGTAAACATCCGATTGACTTGTGGCATCAGACTGAGATGCCAAACGTGGGATGATTTGTTCCATGTTTCTTTTACTTATTAGCATGCAAGTGAACACATGACGCATCTTTAATGGGCAGTTGACCACAACATAGACTTTTAACTTCCAAGCGTTTTTCCAGTTCAGACACTTAAATTAGCTTTTTACTTTCTTATTCCTTGACAAAAAGCTCTTTAAATTCGATTTTCAACGCCTACTTGGCGTGACTGTCGAGTAGTTGGGTTTCCATGGAGTTTCCAGTTGCATTGTGCAGAAATCCTCTAGCGAAATGTAAATTGAGGTCGTAAGTGCATTTGGCGGGAATTTGTAAGATCGCACGATCATTTTTTTCCACTGAGGTGCAATGTGGCAGTGGAAAAGTTTTTTTTTGCGTTTATTGCCTAACAGGTACTCCACGCCGAGTAGTACATTTCGTTGCTAAACCGTACATAGCACTCAATAGTCATGTCAAAACATTCCTATATAAAGTTTATCAAGACGATGCGTTACATTTTAAGGCAAGCTTATTTTGCATCCAGTTCAATGTAACCTCCCGGACAATAATCAGACAAAGACAAAGGCCTTCATAAATAAACGCATTATTACCCTTAGATTGGTGTCAATTTTAATCATGCTTACCGTAATAGCCTGGCAGATCCAAGTCACCTGGCAACACCTGTGGTTACCTTTGTGGTTTTTGTGCTTCTGTTTATTCGAAAACAACTTCCATTGTGTCGATTTGGCAAAAGCATAAGCCATACTTACTAGTTCAGGCGAAAACCCTCCATTACAAATTTTAGAACTGCTCGAGGACTTCGGTAACCGAGGCATTGACGCCATCAGTACTATTACTGATGGAGTGGATTCCATGAGCCCTTATTAGCCAATTGTTTCGTAGTGTAAACAGAAACATTGATGGAGTTGGAGACACTGACACTCTGTTGTGCATGCCAGCTGCTGTTTAGGTCTGATCGCAAACGTTTAGGTGGATTCGAGGTGTATGGGTTTAATTATGTATGGAGGTTTCATCGCAGTTTGGAGGTGAACCAATATAAGACCTCTACTTCCAATTATATTGAAACAAGTCGAGGAGCCCTGTGCAAGCTAGTGAGGGCGACGATGTTTTGGTGCCACTTACCGTAAAGGTGGCAAATTAATAGAGTACCTTCCTAATAAAATATGTAAGACAGTTTGGGATGAATGTAATGTTGTTTTTTTCGGCATTTTGCGATACTTTTCGAGAATCGTTTACCTGGTCAAGTTGGTCTAGTATTGAAAACCAATTCATATTTTATAAAAGTTCCCAAGGTTTAAGCTTCAACTCGTCAAAAAATTGTGAAATTTCAAATAAACGTAGTCATATTTGTGCCACTTCCTTTTTTAGAATTTACGGGAGATCCCAACATAAACAAAATGAAAATTGCAACAAAAGCGGCAACTATAGCATGAAACGATTTAGCCTGACCCACGTTTACTTCACCTCGGAATGATCACGGTCCACCTAACAGGGAGCACATTTACGCGACAGCGACCACAGAATGAGTCAGTGACCGACCGGCTGCTCTCAATTGCCACGCCGGCTTCGCTTCCGTTCTGCAAGCTACCCTCAGGCCAACTTTTCAACGTACACATATCCAACTTCTTTGACCTCTGAGTTGTCATTAGTCGGATTGAAGCCTACCGTTACTTTATACAGTATATGTTCAACTGACGTATGTTTGTTGCTTCTAACCCTGTTTCCTGTTTGGTATTTTGGCGAACTGTAAGCATTATAGCCCTGGCTCTCAAAATCCAGTTTACAAACGCCTACCTGGCTTTAACTACCCGGATAATTTTGAAAAGCGCTAAAGTACAGTGCCTAGAACAATGAATACCCTTAATGAAGCATCAAACTCGAGTCCAATACGTAGCAGACCTTTTTCTCAAGATTAATGAAAGTAATCATCAAGACTTAATTAATCCAACTTAAAAAGGCTAAGAAAGCTAAAGCTGTGCAACCGCACATCATTTTCAGTTGTTCAGCAAATCCCAAGGCCGCCTCACTATCATCGAGTTATGTTCGGAGTCGAAGTACTCCAAAGTGCAGAAGGCCATTTCGCTTACAAAAGTGCTCCAATTACTTGAAGCCAATAAGATGTGTGAATTTTATTTTCGTCTAAGTATAGATGTAGTTTGGAAGATAAGTGCTTATATATGGGTACGTACATGGAGAGATTGCAGATAAGCTGAATTGGCACAGTAATGATCACAGCATGTCGAAGCTAAAAGCGGCTATAGGGAAACTACATTGCATGCATCATCGCCATCAGTGACAATGGGACAAGAGACAACATCGGCTGCTAAGTAGGGGGAGGGGGGAGGACAATAGAGGAGCTAGTTGTAGAACGCTCAAATGAGAAAACGATGGAATCATCCAGTGATGCGAGTGAAATAGAAGAGAGAAAAGCGAGATCGAAGCATATTAAAATACTCAGGAGAAGTGCGATCAGACGGGGTGCCGCCATTTATCCATTCTCCTTGTGGCAAGAGAACATCTGGCTATCCGTCCTGACCCAAGCTGATGTTACTGTCACTGAGAACTCTGAAAGGCATAGGTAACAGTCACTCAACATCGGCTCACTTCCAAGAGTCCCATAGAACTACTAATTAGTAATGAACATAGTGATTGCTGAGCAATAACTTCAACGCTCACTTTCCAAAATCCAACGCTTAAAGGTAAGCACTAACTGAACTAACATGTTTCAGGGTAGATCTGAATTTCAACACAAAAGAAACGATAGCCATTTAGTACAGGTGTTAAACTCGGGTTACACCACAAACTAGATGATTGCCGCACATCGCTTTTTGGTTCCCATTCGACTGAGTTCTCGTTTGAAGGCAACAAAACGCCATTAAGCGGGTTTACTTTTGTTTATTAATCCTATAATTTCATATAGGCGTTACTTAACCAAAACGCTGATAAGCAATAAAAGCATAACAGATGTCTCCCGAGTATGCAGACAAAAAATTTTGTCACCAACCTCACAAAAAAATTCGCTGCATCAGAGCCCTAAAAATGTACGCAGATCAACAACAATGAGTTAATGTTAGCACACACGAGAAATTCTGCTATTAGCAGAGAGGCTTGGAAATCCTAATTTTGCTTATTTTATTCTGACCTTAGTTTTTTCTCTCGCATATGACCTAATCTGCATAATTGAGGCGGCTAATCCGGAATAATTGCTGCTTGTATAACCGTGTGCATCTTACATCAGAAGTCGAAGAAGCACCACAACAATAACGTACAGTAAGCAAAAAAGGTATGTAAAACAGGATTGAAGCAGAGGTATACCTTAGCCGTTTCAGTTGCCGATGTCTTTTCCAAATAGATACCAATCAGAATAAATTAATAAATAGCTTACATCACCGGGGTAAGGTGACTCGGGAGGTGCGTAAATACGCGAAAATTCAGGCATACTGTTGATTGAGCCTCGATGAACTCCATAGGCATAAAGATCCCATGAAGAGATGGGGAGAAAGACGTCGGTGTTATCGACTGAACTTGCGGCGCCAGCCGCGGTGGAACTGTCTACAGATGCCTCACCATCGACGTCCACAGATTCGAGGATTCGATGTTGATAGGCTGGTGGTGCGGTAATGTCTGAATCCCTGATTATGCAGTACATACCCCGCTTAGTAGCGTCCTCGTAAGTGGGGAGAATAGGCACTCCCTTAAATATTCTTGGTGGACTAAAAAATAAGAGCACGATTCGCACCTCTTTTTCCTCAACTTAGCAACCACGCGTGAATAAAGTTAATAGTATGCTTCAGTTGTCGGCAGTCTCGTTTTTACCTTGACATAAACGCGATATTTAACGGACTGCTTGATTCCACTATAGGGCTAGAAGCATCCTGCGCCAAAAGAGAAATAAGTCTTCGGTGAGCCAAGCTGAGTTTTCACTCCTGAGATCCTGGTATTGACGGCGTTGCATTGTTATGAAACACTAACTTAGGCTCAACTCGCATTTCTTTTAAGTGCAAAACACTCAACCTTCGGCACTAGAAGGGTCTAAAACAACATCAACGTATTTTCAACAAGCGACTTGAAACCCATAGTAGTTTAATTTACTAGACGACCGAAAGCAATGAAATCTACTCATTTTGATGGATAAATATGAAATGCGAACACAACAACCGCAACGTCAATGAGCGAACGTGTGAGGGACTGAGTGATCCATGTAAGCAGATTAACAAGGGACGGCAGGTAACGCCATCAATTTGCTATTTCTGAAAGTACATCCGTACAAGGGTGGCGTTGACCACGTGAAATGCGCAAGGGCACACATGCGCAGAATTGGACGCTTGTTTATGGGCAGAGACAGGATCACATCGCAAGCCGAAATAACAACGATTTTTGTTACAAATTAGTTTCCTCTTCCTCCGTAGTTGAAACTAATTTGCGTAAATGATTACGGTCGCGGCATTTAAACAATCAGTCGATGTTGTACACAGCACCACACCCCATACGATGTAATATCGGTACGTGCTAAAAGTTACCCTACCATTTTGGTAACTTTGCTATCAAAAACCTTCACTTTTCGCACCTCTTTTAGACGCCAGTGGTGGTGATAGAGACGAGGGTGATGTAGAGAGGACATCAGTGAGTGCTTTACATACATTTCCTATTTGTGTGGGCACGATGACGGTTGTTTAAAACCAGGCCGTCTCGCGTCCCGCCGTCTCACACTCAACTGTCACAACCTTTATCCCATACAGGAACGGTCGGAAACGACGACTGTACTATCTCCTATAAATGCGTGCATATGCGTCCTTAATACTGTAGAGAACTAAGATTGATCCACTTATGTCGCTTGTAAGATGGGTTAACATTTTGCATTTCTATCACGAGCAGCTCACCACGACAAAAGCATTAAGTTAACAAATAAAACGCTAAGACTGCTTAAAGCAGAGACTACTAGAAGGTAATGGGTACGGACACAGAAGCATGCCGGCCGCTTGGGTAAAGCTTCCAAGGGGCCTAGCTTCAAAACAGAGAAAACACAAACACTGGAATGCACCATGTGAGCTTTAATAGAAGTCGTGCTTCCGTTTTCAGGCAACAGTGTCATGTGCTACTCACAGTTTGCTTGCTGTGACGCTAATATATCCTTTGTAGGCTAAAGAGGAGTACCTGGTAAATTTTCATTGAGTAATCTTGCACCATGTGAAAGCAATTTTAGTTTCAGTTGTGAGAATCAAAAGGGTTTTAAGATTTAAGCACTTTTGGCAATCGGTGAATAACACTAAGGAAAATAATAAAGTAAACCTTATTGAAGAGGTCTGTCGGTCACGTAAATACATTAATTTTCAAAAATCATGCATTTGAGAAACACCAATACATTCTGAAAAAGACGTCCTAGCCTGCTTGATGGTTCGGTATGAGGTTAAGTGATAAGCAACTAGGTTTGAGGAACATTAGATAATACCGTGACATTGGTCGATAAGATCCCGTGGGCGCAAAACGAAAGAGCCTCCCATTCCATCAACCTATTACCAGAAGACATTTCCTTCCAGTGTGAGGAAAGAAGCCACTATACAGTTTGACTTATATGTACGATAAAAATATTTCGATATTCGACATTTCTTTTATCAACTGTTCATCACAACTGATAGTATCCTGCTCTTTATATATCGGCACCTCAGGGCGTTTAACCATTGCTGAAGGAAACATAAGTCTCCCACTAACTGGTATGGCAAATCGTGAACTCCTCTTCACAAAACTTCTGTGTTTGGCAGGACTTACTAGCATGATAGAACTCTTTTTGATAAATAGAGAGTAAGCTGCTTCTTTTAAATTGATAACATAAACTTTCCTCACCGGCAGCCATAAAGTAGAGTAGAAGAAATATTGGAACCAGCGCAAATACACCTTTTTTCACAATCATGTCTAAAAATAGCAATTGAATGTCCCCTTTGAAGTTCAATTTAACAGCTACTATGCTAAAACGTTTCCATTTAACCAAAATGGCAAACGTAGTAGTAGTAGTAGTGGATTCAAACGCCTTTTCTTTTAAAGTGGTTTAAGACAAAAATTAAAAAGTTGAGAAAGTCTTACTTACCCTCCGATGTGCAGAAAAATGATAGAATAAAAGGACATAATTCAGAAAAAAACTCACTGAGTAGACGGCTGGTACTCCGTTGGTACATGGATGTGAGGTACAGCCAAACAGGAGAGTCGAGAATTTTCGCTGCCTGTGAAGACTGTGGTGGAAGCACTACCCTCATCCGCCTCCACCTCTTGCGACAATGCCGCGAAGGTCGCCGTAGCCGGTGTCTGACCAGCCAACTCATGAGGATGTGCCAATAGTGCCTCCGAGTCGTAGAAACCTGCGTTCACGCCGCCCTGGACACCGACAGTAGAGATATTAGTACCAGTAGTCACAATTCAATGTCTTCATCCATGCTCCTCATTTTTACAAAATTAAAATACGCGCAGATTGAAAATTGGAAAAAAATATGGAAAGTGCAGAAACTGAGCTCATAGACAATTCATTATATAGTAAAAGCTGTGCGTCAATATAATTTACTAGTAGCACAACTTGTCTTCAATCTTGAAGTACAGGTTTGGTAGAAATTTCCGAAAAGAAGAGTAAACAGAAAACACTAACAACGACTTGGTTAATTCATTTCACCACCCATTTACCAAACTATATATGATTCCTAATGGTCTGCTAGAACAAACAATAGAGCAGGTCCAATTTAGAATGATAGTATCTGAGGCTTGGCTCCCACTCGAACGTATGCCAAACAGATATAACAGAATGCCACAGTTATACACCCATTCACCAGAAAACTACACCTTAGAAAATTCGTTATTTAGTATAGTACTCAGGGACACTATTCTTTACCTTTATCTCTGTCAGCCAACGAAAAAGCATTACTTGAGTGGTTGAGGCTAAAGTTCACTTCTCTCAAAACGCACTCTTCCCTTAATAGCATTGTAATTCGTAATAAGAGAATTACTACTGGCGGAAAATACCCGAATAGCAGTTGCACATTGATTCGTTGACTTTTTTACATTAGCTACCATCTTTCTCCATTACAACTAGTAAAATGAATCTAATACGTGTAGACGAGGTCAAGAAGACACACCAAAGTGACTCCTCTTAATGAATCTAGTTAAATGTTTACACCAAGTCAGATGCCATGGACTCAAAAGGCTGCTTAATTTCGCGTTATCGGACAGGTAAAAGTAGGATTTATAGGGCTATTAATGGAAAATCATGTGAATGCATAAAAATGGTTGGGGGGAGGATGTAGACAAACACTAGCCCCTTTACAAGATCAAAGTGAATAAAAATGTGCGTATTGAATAAGTTAGGCACTAAAACTAAAAGGTCGAAACATTTGAGAGAACAATGTACGAATATACATTAAAAACGCCCATTTGTTCCTATTTTAAAGCTGAAATTGACATTAAAAAGACTGACCGGAAATAATTAAGGCTTATTTTTACAAGGTATTTAGCGCTTGAATGAGCTTAAAAGTGAACAAAGCAATGAATTCTCAACTCTTCCGGCAGCACATGAGTACGCGATTCGGTGGATAGCCTTATGACGGTGCAAGAGGTCAATGCGGTATAGAGTTGGCCCTCAATCGGCGACAAACACGTACTAGTACGGTTCACGCTCGACCAACACCTTCCGATGAGTGGTTCTAGGACATACGAAATAATAGTTTGCAGTGAATAAGAGCATATTGCCCTGAAGAGATGAAGAGTATTGGGAAGTGCTTGATCAGATGGAAAAATGCACCGATAAATTTCGGTCCATTCCCACACAGAACCAGTCAATTCAAGGTGATATCCAAAAGCACTCCAGATGAGAGTTGAGGGCATCAAGGCTTTTACTAAAGAGGCGCTTAACAATGAAACGCATCCTAACTTACTGTTGGGTTGCGCACAGTGGGATCAGAACGAGGAAGGATAAAGAGCCGATCCGAGAGTTCGGCATCGGCCTGAGTGCCAATAGAGGCGTGATTTCCGTTTTCCCGGCGACTTCTGACTCGAGCGCGACGTCGCGCCGCCGCCTGTCGTTGTCGATGTATGGTGGTGCCACCGCTACCAGAGCCGGATACAGAGGCATCAGAGGCGTTTCGGTGACACACGCCGAGGAGCATGATGAGCACCAGCGCCACTGAGAGTGCTGACATGCCCACGGAGAGAGAGACCAAGGGCTTCTCTCGCACAGCCACTGCCGCCGCCTTTCCCGCCAAAAAGGCCTGCTGCAGTTGGCGGAGAGTGTATATTGAGCCGTAAAAATAAGGTGTATTTCCGCTTCTAGCTAAAATACAAAGAATATTGTTCGTCCAGAACGGTTCAATCAAAACAAGTGGCTTTTAACCTTAAGATCTGAACCAAAGGGATTCATTCAAGATTAACCACGATAGCAAATACATTTCCTAAATAATAAGGTCGCAACATTCACTAAACCAACCTTCGAGATTAAACATTCTGGGAAGATTTACATTAACAGAGGCTCTAGTGAAAGAATTACAGTTACCAATCACAAAAAAGAACAGACCAAAGTTTCAAGATAAGCTCAAGCCAATAAGCTTTCCCATTATGCAATTTAAACAAGTATTGGTTTGGAGGCAGGAATGATACACAAGTGCCGCGGACATTGATTAGACCGTCTTTGGTGAGGGTAAACAGAAGTAGTTCAGGCGCAACTTGAAAATTTGTATACAGTGCAGTCAAACATTTTACTCACCGGAAAAACAATCCTGGACGGGAGGAAGCCAATAAAAGACCTCCGTGGTTCGGTTTACCATACATCGTGTTCGAACTATTGTGGACGAAGGGAAGGGGGACAGAGAATCGGACGATGAAGCGTTTCTATCACCTGACGGGCATCGAGCAGAGACGATTGAATAGAGAGCATGAGTGGCACATGTTTCTGGCGTGCACTGACCCACTTTTAAAACTTGGGGATTCAAATCCGGAAAGAGACAACCAGTTGAATTTAAAACCATTGAATCTAAGACACAAACAACTCCGGAATTATTAATTTAAACTACGAGCAGCACAAGTTGAATAGTACCGACAAAATTTACATAATGCTTGGAAAGAAAGGGGATCCTACGCTACATAACCACGTCGTTTTTTTATTTTTGAATAAAATTCAGAGTGGTCGATAGTTATGAGAAATCAAACTTAATTCGAGAAACAAAATAAACCCAACCCAATATTTCAGTGACTGAAACCAAAACGTTCAAATAGACACAGCCTCGGCAATGATGGATGAAAATCAACCAAATACTAAAGGTGGAAATATAAACCCATTATAAACGCGAAGGAAAAATCAAACAAGCCAAGAGCAACTGGAACGTACATTTTACAGGTAGCGGAACCCAATTCAACTAACTGAGCCTCATCATCATACAAAACGTTAGTAAAAAAAGCACAACGAACCAAGACCGCAACGACTCAGTGTGATTTCAACCACCGGAAAATTAACCTATAAACGGATAAGCTTGCATTCAAAAGGGAACAACGGAACAACCAATCACAAATGAACTCTGAAAAGTAAATGAAGTAAAGATAGCATTTAAAAATAGTTTATTGGATTTACTTAAATTGGGATATATTAGTCGGAGACAATAAGTCCAGAAAAACTTTTAAAACTTTGCCATGATCCTTACACAAATGGATATATTCGAAGAAATAAACGTAAGTTAATACAAAATCCTAAAATTTTACGTTATTTTAAACAGTGCATCACGTTAGGATGAATGCATATGTTCTAAGAAGAAAAGGATATTCTGAGATTTGACCTGTTTCGAAGGACAGCCCATACATATAAGTGCAGGAAAAATCCAAAATTCAACTACAGATTAGGTAGTCATATAAACAAGTTTTTACAACGCGCGCCTCCTGTATGAGTTACACCTTCATCATTTGCCTTTTACCTTCGTGCCCTTAAACCACGAATTTTAAGGGAGGGTTATTTGCAGTAGATTTATTGTAAATCGAATGCAGGAAGAACGGGGATAGTTTACATATAAGTTGAATAGCAGATTTTACACGGAGAGAGATTCCTCGCGATCCTCACGCACTAATATCACGTTCGAATTGATCCCCACATCTCTCCTATAAAAACAAACTTAAACACTACTATATATATTACAACACTCCCGGCGCTCTCCTCGATAGTATCATTTGTACCAACTGCCACAACATATCCGGCGCAACAAGGATACATTCGCGACCCAGCTGGTACTTGGTCTCTTTAACAGCTTTATTTGGACCTGGAGTTACGTTCATCCTAAAGTGAAAAAACCGCAGTTAGAGATTTTTTAAACCATAGATAGTGTCCGCGACTAGGCGATAAAACACTAGTCTTAAGCATGTTTAGCAAGGAAGGCGGAACCAAACACAGACGTGTATGAGAGAGGATCTGGAATTGTGTCATTTCAGACTGCATTGCTTTGTTTATTTGACTACCTGCTACTTGATGGCTATTTTGTATTCTTTTACCCTTGATTTCGAAGGCTATTCCAATACCATACCAGCGTAGCGACTCGAGAACTCTCAATAAGTGATGAAAGGCATTAGGTTGGATTGAATACAGATATTGTAGGCGGATAAGGGGGATTGAGACTTGGTTCGCCCCCATTGTTAGACCATGTGTGCACTGGCAAGACAAATGCCAAAGTAAACGCCTTACGTCAGGTGCTTTCACAATCAATGCATAGCCATTACTTAAAGCCGGTAGGTCCAAAAACATTCTAAGGCGGCGAACTGTTCTATGCGGTGCTGCAAGATAGTAAAGCAGGTACGTAAAAAGAGGGAATGAAGTTTCTAGTTGTAATACTTCGTGTAGCACTACAATGCAACATATACTGTATTACAATGCGGCGAAATGAGTTCAAATCCTGGGCATGTTAAGTCGGCATGCTTGGAAGGTTATTGTCCTCCTGAATACAGCTAAGAATACTTATTAACGACATCTGTTTAGTAATTTTGTAAGCACTCATTCCCACAACGTGACTTGCTATGCCTCTGTAAAAGCGTGAAACTTCACATTATTTATCTTAAGTAACTTTAAAAATATTAACTTTTTTAAAAAATTGGCAAGTTTACTTAAACTTGTTTATATATTTTAGAGATTTAGGCAGCAAACAACTCATTTACTCATTAATTAGCACTAATTTCGATTCCCTGGTTTAATATTAACGACGATACCTAGCCTAACTTTGCTGGCCCAATTGCGCCTCTCCTGCCATGGAGGGTATTGCTGAGTGTGCTCTCGATGATTTCCTCGCATGTGAGAGGTATCCGAATTGGCATATGGCGGAAGTCAGCACTGGGGTACACTTACTTAAAATTTCAGATCATTTTAGACCACATTGGTTGCTTGCGAATATGACGAAGGTGTTGTAATAGGAGCTGATTCTCGCACGTCCTCCGGGTTAGTTTGCTTTGGTCCTACTTACTTGTAGGGTGTACGTATCGAACCGAGTGACTGATAAGCTCACTCCACTTACCAAATATATTTATTGCTGTCGTTCGGGCTCTTCAGCGGATACACAGGCCATAACTGATGTCGTAAAATATCAGCTGGAGTTTCACTCCATCCAAATGGGTCGTGAGCCTACTGTAGCAGAAGCTGCTACAACTATGCAAAACTTGTGTTACGGTTATCGAGACAGTCTTACTGCCGGTATGTTTGTAGCTGGTTGGGATGCTGAAAATGGCGGCCAAGTACGCACCCATATGCTTTTCACATACTCTAGATTTATGCAATTCCCGTTGGAGGTATGCTTATCAGGCAACCAGCGGTACTTGGTGGTAGCGGAAGTAGTTATCTCTATGGTTACTTTGATGCACGATTTACGCCTAATTTGACGAAGGAAGAAGCAGCGGAATTCGTCAGCACATGTAAGTTTTCCGCTTAAAATCTGGGATCTGTGATGGTTTTATACGACTGAATTTAGACGCATTATCTTGTTTGTTTTGAACAGTGCCAGGATCGTCTTTTAGCTATACCTTCTCATCCTTGAAAATTAGTGTTTTCTTCCATTTCCTTTTAGGCGTCGGTCTGGCAATAAACAGGGATGGGTCGAGTGGTGGTTGTATCCGGCTTGGAATCATCTCACGCGACGGCGTTGAACGCAGGCTTATCAAAGGTGACGAAGTTCCCATGTACTCATGCAAGGCGTAAAACTTGTTGATGGTTCTCTGAAAGCTGTTTTATTATTCTACTGCGCATTGTGACATCAGAGATGTTGGAACCTTAAGTGGGCACTCAATTGTACGTCAAAGTGGTTCGTAGTCTGTTCCAGTTCCAAATCTCATCCTCTTCCTCAGTGTCGTCTTTCAAATCCAAAAAATTTGCAAGTAGCGTCAGATCAATCGTGTTGTCCTAAATATCATTAGCTTAGCGCACTGATTTCGCATCGTTACCAGCATTTGGAGACCGTGGGAAGTAAATATTTCATTCTCCAGCTCCACATACGTTGGGATTTTCTTCAATAACACACTGAAATAAGCATAAAGTGTATTCATAGCTAAGATGCAGAGATTTCCTACTCGAAGGTACGGTCTTTTGTAGTCAAAGGATACAAAACACTTCTTGCATGATACTTCGAATCTGGTAAATGTGTAGTTGGTGTCTAAATGCTACCATCTACCCTGGTTCTGCACTGTATGTGGGAAATGTCTGGAGTTTCTACACTATTTTCACTTGACATGCTACGGTGCTGGTCGAAGAGGGCCCGAATCTGTAAATAGTCTGTACTTGGCTGACGTTATTAGCGCTTTCAAGGCAGTGGTTAGGGTTTTGTTATCGCCAAATGGGAAGAAGCGTGACGTTACCTGCATATGTCATGGTAAACTTACCTTGTGGTGTTGATTATGTCACAATCGTGGGGTCCTTCCTCAGGATTTTCGATTTCAGGTATAACGGGTATGTCTGTGTGTCGGAAAGTTAAATCCACCTACCAGGTTCTTCGTCCGATTCTTCGTCGTTGCAGCCACAACAAACGGTATTGGATTAAATGATGAGCTCTATTCTATACCGGCAAATATCGGACCCCCTTATACCAAATATTTGACTTGAGCGCTGGGAAGCGCATACATGACTGAAATTGTGTGCTATCTAAGAAATGTGTTCCATTTCGAGTGTATGGAGAATAAAAGGGTCATCAATTCGAGTGCACAAATTGGTTCTCAATACCGAAAACAGAAGTGCCTAAATTACCCGCATCAATTACGGACACCTTCTCGTCCGTTCCATCCGTTTCTCTATAAAGTGAGCATTTACACAATTCATACCCAAAAAGAATGTGATCGAATGCGTTGCCTGTTTCCTCACCCCAACCGCCAACAGATCTCTTCACAGAGAGTTGAGTTCCCAACGATTTCTTTAATCTGTGAATTAGGTAGCCCATACCTGGTCACTAGAGTCGGAAATAGTCAGGGCTTCAGTATCATCCTTCAACAAATCTATCGGAGCTTTGGTGCTTTTCACCCTCCGACCCGCCTTTCGTACCTTAAAACACACAGACGAGCTCTAACACTACTGTTTTTGCTGTACTGAGACAAAAGTCTTCAATGACGTTGGTGTCCATCTGTTACCGCGTCTCAAACAAATTCGTACCACTTGGCCTCTACTTCAATCACTAAGGTCATGCTCCTCGCCGAAACAAAGAACTTTTGTGGTAGTGAAATAAGAGATAGAAGTATAAAATATGAAGCTAGCAGATGCAATGAAAGGAGTCTGAAAATAACTTACTCCATACGCTTCTTACAGTTTCGCGTATATACTGAATGTTTTGATTTTAAAGTGGATTAAACCAGGGCTCACGTGTTAATTGTATGCGGGAGAAGAGAACAGGATGACAATAACCACCTAATACCAGTTAGCTGAAATAATTGACTAATTAATGTTGGCTTATAAAAGATCATTTATAATGATAGACTGCATGATTTATTTTAGTTTCGTTATTAAGGTTATTCTTCGGAGCAGCGAAGGAAATATTTTGCTCTTGAACCACCGTCATATAGTTAAGACTCCAATCCTCGCTTACATATCTCATGAAAACTATTAAGATTGCTCTTAAAGCACTTGCAAATCGATCATAATTGAGGTGTCCTGTGTGTAATGCACGAGTCTGGCTGGTACTATTTTGCTGCTATTCCGTCATGATTTGTTCAAATATTTTACCTTCTACTCCCGTTATACCTGATCTTATTGTTCATGTGCTTTCCCGATTTATAGTGCTCCCGCCACCTTAGCTTTGTCATAATATATGGTCCCTGACTTTTGCCTAGTTAGTTTGCTGCTAAACTTATTGTTCTTGTCGGTTGTACTATGGACGTGGTGCATAGGCTATGTGTTCATGCCTATCTCGGGTTTCACATAGATGTGTCTACTAGGTGAGACAGCCTCTATTTGATCAACTAGGTGTTTCTAGTTTACTGATTACTTACTCCTTTGCACTAAACCAGCAAGTGATGGTCTTAATTTACTTTTTCTCACACTATTCGACGCTTAAGTGGCAGTCGTGAGTGTTTTCTTGTTAACCTGCTCCTTTTTTACTCTCCCTTGTTTTGCTTATTTTTAGTGATCTTCTAAACTATCGCGTCAACATTAGACTTTCCTTCCAGATCCTACGTTTTTCATGTTGAGGTTGCTTGACATTGTGAACATACAGAATGTCATCGACAGCGGAAATAATTTCTTGCTTCGGTTATTGGTATCTAGGGGTGAGTAGGAAGGACCTGCTTAAAAATTGGTTTATACCGCGAAATGACTATTGGAGTGTTCATTCTTTGAGGCACTTTCTAATTTTAATTCTTAATTTTAGTGTCCATTTTGTAGTAACTGCCTGTCTACCCTCTGGTCCCTGGTTCTCAGACTTTATGGGGAAGTTGGTTGTAGACGATTTATTAGGCATCTCTATAAGAAGGATAGGGAATAAGATAC